TGACACGTCATTTTAATATGAGTTAATTAACAGTAAAAAAAATTGGGATCATTTAGAACTATTTCTCAAATTTCAGGGACCAACAGTATTCATTTAGATGTGTATAAGAGACAGCTGGAGAAAGGCACGACGGCGCTGTTCGAGGTGCTGGCGGCGTTCGCGGCGAGGAACATTAGGTTGACGAAGATCGAGACGAGGCCGCACCGGAGCTGTCCGATCCGTCTGGTGGCGGCGGTGAAGCGGTTTGAGTACATGTTCTACGCGGACTTCGAGGCGTCAATGGCGGATTTGAGAGCTCAAGAGGCCATGGCGGAGTTGCAGGAATGCACTTCCTTTTTCAGGGTTTTGGGCAGCTATCCTATGGACATTCCGCCATCCTCTCCAAACTAAAACCATAACTTATTTTTTTAATAAATGTTGTGTGGATTTGAATTACGATCTCATATGATTTGAATGGCTTCCTTCTTGTTCAAATTCATTGAATTACAAATATTTTCACATGTAAAATACTTTGTCCTTAAATGTTTGATAAATTTGTAGTATTTTTTTAAGATTAATTTGTCTTTAATAAATTTCAAAAAATACTTAAACTCTTTTAAGTGTAAGGACCAACCTTATTATAATGAGTTGTAAAATTGATAAGGGATAAAGCTTATAAATTTAACCATCCATTATTTTATAAAAGATATTTTTGTTTTTGCATTTCTCTCYTATGGTAAGGATAATGTTCCTTCTTGCTAGCGAGGAACCAAGTTTTATCCATTTTCAAAGGTGACGAGGACAAAATTTGGTTTCACATCGAGGAATTAGTCTTTTCCTTATTTTTTGAAAAARTATTTATTTTTTTCATTTATTTATCTTAATTGTTAAATATTTAATGGTGATGGGTACGAGATGCTTATTATAGTTAATGAGTCTTAAGTATTTTTTTTTATTTGATATCTAATAGGTCATTCCTTTAAAAAGCTTTGTTGATTTTTGTCTAATAGAAAGTAATTCTACATCAATTATTTCTTCGTTCAACTTGCTATATCTTTTCTTCTTCTTCTTTTCTTTTTTTTCTTCCGTTCAACAAGTGAAGGTGGGAGATTTRAACTCATGACCTTTTGTTCAAAAGCAAGTACTAATTATCGTAGAGTTAACTGTTAAGTTCATGTTGGCGATCAACYCCTATCGATTAACTTGATGTAGCCTTCTTTGTTTGACAAGAATCATTCCTCCCACGGAGTAATTTAACGGGCAATGAGAAAATTTTCATTTTCCCTTGGATTGTAATCCAAAACTGAAAAACGGCTATTTTTGTGAAAGTAGGTATGTAGCATCAAATGTACTAAAAAAAACGTATGTAGCATAAAATGTGACTTATAGGCGTAAATTTGTATAATATGAGTTTWCGTCTTGATGTTCATACAAATTTAGATATTAAAGTTTGTAAAAGTAGGMAAATAAATAATATTAATAAAAACGAACATAGTTTAGTAATTAAGATATTTCTATTCTAATGATAGGTTATAATTTCCAATCCCTAAACAACCCCTCCAATTATTCTCGGAAAGCCCAGTAATATTCTCTATATATATTCCATAAAATTATAAAAGTAACTTAGATTTATTGTTTTAAAATGAAATAAAATACCCAAGTGTTTTTTTTAATGTAGAACCGATTAGGGTTATTTCTCAAAATTTAAAACTAAAGAAAAATGTTCATCTCATTAAAAATGTTAAAATACTTTAGCTTTGTTTGTCCTACTTTTAAAATGTTCATTTTAGTTCATTTGTTTTCAATTTTTGTTCATTTTAATTATTTTGTTTTCAATTTTTGTTCATTTTAATTATTTCATTTGTTTTCAATTTTTATCTATTTTAATTAGTCCCTATAATTTTTAAATATTCATTTCGGTCCTTGTACTTTAAAAAAGTAGCTATTGTAGTCTTTATTTTCAAACTTTTCACACAAATTATACACAACAAAAATCACTTAAATATAGAGTCATGATTACATTTCAATAAATACACTCATTATTGAGGTAGTATACGTTGAAATTGTTAGAGGGATCAAAACAAATATTTTAAAAATACAGAGACTAAAATGAACTAAAATTCAAAATATAGAGACCAAAATTAATCTTTTAAAAATAAATAGATCAAAATAAACTAAAAATACATCAACCAAAATAGTTTTAACCTTGAAAAAACATAATCATTAGCTTGGGTCCTTGGTTTTATAACAGTGACATATCAACTCAACATTTTATTCCAGTAACATCTGAATTTCGATCAGGTGAGACTTGAGAGAAGGGTTACAGTATGAGAAGTGCAATTCTGATGCTCAAGTGAGTAAATGTTTCAGCTATTTGTGTGAAGACAAACAATCAAATTCGCGTTCCTGTGCATGCAATTTATCTCTGTATTTATAGGCATAGATAGGTTAGTCCCATTTGTTGACCACTTACCACAACCGCAAGATTCAAGGCATCATACATTATGAATTATATATATATATATATATATATATGAGTTATATATGAGTTATTAAGTTGAATAATACAAAAATATGAACAAATTATTAGTACAAACACATTTTTCTAACAGAACATAAACAAGAATCATTTACAGAACAATGAATAAATCCAATAATAGTTTTTGTGGGAAAACAAACATAGTGATTCTTTCCGGAAAAAAGGTATATAAAATATAGAATCCAAAAASAATGATATTTGTCCACAAACTAAATGGAAAGAAAATGGGTTAAATAGAGAAATTCATGGCATCAATTTCTTTATTTTATTAAGAAAATATATTATCTTAATTAAAAATTTTGAAATTTGAAGTTACAAAAAAAAAWTTATTTGAAACTTTTAAATTTTAATTATTAATAAATATATTTACCTTAAATGAAAATCAAATTATTAAGAAAGTATAAACTAAAATCTCATAATAAATAGGGTAGGAGAATCATAAATGATGATATTTTGGTAATAAAAATTCCTTTTAAAACTTGAAATCTAAAAGTATAAATAATGTCTGTTAAAAAAAATTATAAATAATGACAAATTTAGACATTTATGAAACATGAATTCTAAAAAAAATACTCTTTTAAGGAGAATTTTTGTAAGAGAGTTTTAATCAATATCTCTCGTATTTAAATTGCAATCTTGATAAATAAAATTTCAAAAGAAAAATTTTAWCTTGATAAATAAAATTTGAAAATAAAAAATTTTTTTTTTCGAAGATTTAAACTCACAACCTTTAAATCGAAACATTGTAAACAATATTAATCAGATGGGCTATACTCAAATTGATATAAAAAAAAAAGTAAAAATTAAATAACAAGGATCATATAATGATATCTTGAATATGATAAATAGTAATGGTTTTACGCCACATATTTTATTTACATTATTAACTAGCCCTCTAATTCTTATTTTGTTAATATGGTTACAAATAATTAACTATGAGTTTSAATCTTGAAACTATATAGGTCTATCAGGCCTCAACTATTAAATTATGTTCGAGTTCCYAATAATAAATATTTGAGCAAAATACATTTTTAGTTCWTGAGGTTTGAGGTAGGTGTCTACTTAGTTCCTGAAGTTTCARAATGTATACTTTTGGTCCCTSAGATTTGAGGTAAGTKTCTAATTTAGTCCCTGAAGTTTTAAACTGAACACTTTTGGTCCCTGAAGTTTGAGAAATAATTATAAATGATCCCTAATTTTTTTTACTRTTATTAACCAATATTAAAATGACGTGGCAAATTGCAATTAAATTGTTTATTGTAGTTCCTGATGTGACAAATTATATTAATTAAATAATATATGTCCGCTATGAATGACGGACGGTGACAGTAAAGACGTGGTGGTCGCCGGAAAAGGGTAGGAGAAAGAGGGAGAAAGAGATGAGGAGAGGAGAGAGAGTACCATCACCTACACATATATTATTTAATTAATATAATTTGACACGTCATTTTAATATGAGTTAATTAACAGTAAAAAAAATTGGGATCATTTAGAACTATTTCTCAAATTTCAGGGACCAACAGTATTCATTTGAAAACTTCAGGGACCAAGTTGACACCTAATTTAAATCTTAAAGACCAAGTTCATTTTG